GTAGCGATGCCACCAGCCCCTATAGTAGCGTCCTTGCTCCTAGTAGCGATGCCACCAGCCCCTATAGTAGCGTCCTTGCTCCTAGTAGGGATGCCAGGAGCCCCTAGTAGCGTCCTTGCTCCTAGTTAGCGATGCCAGGAGTCCCTAGTAGCTCCACCCTAAGGAGCAAAATGAGATGTGTTCAGCGAGCTACTTGCAACCTGAATGGTTGCTGACAATTGCTGTCAAATTGCTGACAATCTCTGCACAGATTCGGCTCTGAGTTTCGAGCCCAATAGGAATTCAAGGCCGGTGTGGCCAACAGGGTTGGCATGAAGCTCCTCCGAGACGAGTTGAGATTTCCATCGAGTGTGCTTGAATTTCACATCCTCCAGCTGGTTGCTTTGGCGCAAGGTTAGGCAAATATGTGCCAAACCTCGGACAAGAACGCTACGAACGGAACGAAGGGCATCGCTACTAGGAGCGATCGGACGCTCCTAGTAGCTCCTGGCCTTACTACTAGGAGCAATGTTCGCTACTAGGAACAAAGGGCTTCCAAAAGGACATGATAGTCACCAAATCATGAAGGTTCCTTGAAGCCTGAGCCCTTCGTTCAAGATAGTGGTAGCGGCCTACTTAAAAGCTACTAGTAGCGCTACTAGCAAAGCCCAAAGCCTCCTCACAGGCTACCCTCCTGGCCTTACATTAAGTTTCCGCACATATCTAGGAACCAAACGAATGGTGCTCACCCTTTCCTGCGTCCATATCTAGTAGCTACTTCTTACTACTTAAGCTACTTTTTAGCTTAGCTAGCGGCAAACCCCTAACAATAATATTGCTCTCTCGTTAGATTCCTCTCACTCTTCGTTTCCCGGCCATTGTCGCTGATGTTGGACTTGCTAATGTCCAAGACCTCGAGTGGAGCGGCTGCACCGGTGGCTGATTCTTCTCACCCGTCTTCTCGCCTTGATCTCCGGGTTCTTGGAGAGAAACAGGGCAAGGGCCTGGACGGTTGGAGGCCATCGCTGCTAGCAACAACAAGCTACTAGAGTGGAGGCCATCGCTCTTAGGTTGGAGGCCATCGCTTCTAGACTTCTAGATTGGAGGCCATCGCGCTTAGGCCTTAAGCTCAAGTAGCCACGAGGGAAGTTGCTTAAGAAGCTACGGAAAGCGGAGGCTTCTTCCAGGTCCCTAGATGTTTGGGCAAACTTAACTTTAACTCCAAACTATAACTAGTTAAAGTTATATAAAGTTTTTAACTTACTTTTCTGTCTCTTTTTGTTTTTCATTCTTTAACATTCTTTAACTCTACGGTGTCAATCGCCTGAAATGCCTTTGAGAGGCCTTAGGTGGCCTTGGCTACCCCTTCTTGCTTTCCTCCGTGATATACTTTAGACCTTTCTAGATTTTTTGCACGTTTACACCACTCTTTGGGAAGTTTACACTGTTTTTCCTTTCTTTCTTTCTCTTTGTCCACACACAAGCACTTCTTCAAACGACAACATCTTTGCACTTGCGCCTCACCACCACGATTCCGAATGGGACAGGCTTCGGTATCGTCGCGTACCTCAAAAGTTCGAATGCTTTAGTTAAGTTTCCCTTTAAAAAATAGGAACCAAATCAGTGCGAGCGCTTCTTCAAGGAAGCTTCCCCCACCCTGGGGAGTTTCCTTGATGCGCGAGCTATCCTGCGTCCAGTCGGTAGTAGCTACTTGTAGCTACTAGCTATCTCTTCTACGTTCGCTACCCACAGCGACCTCCGCGGCCTACCCGCCCCCGCGCGTGCGCGTGACAAAGCTACTACGACAGATACCTCTAGCCCTACTAGCTATCTCCCTACCTACCTACCTACTGTACCTACCTACCTCTGCCTACCCCAAAAAAAAGAGAGAAACAAACTAACTTGTTTAAATCGTCTTTGTCTCCTTTGAAACTTGCATAGTCTCAGTTCGGCTGATGCGTTTGTTTCACGGTCAAGTGATCTCCAACATGCTCCAGGCTTATGCCAGCCTGGAAGCACACGAAAGCACTGGAAGCTTGCGAAAAAAACACTGGCATGCCTCCGCCAGTGGCTGTGGAATCATCAGGCCCTGAAACAAAAGCCAAGTTTCACAGTGAAAACACACTGTCAAAGGCTTGTAAACTCACTATTGCAAACACTGCTCAAACAGATTCAGGGCCAGGCTGCATGGTCTCCATGCAGTGCACAGGCACTCTCAGAGCAACCAGCAGCGGTTTCCATCAGTGAACATGACTACATTGAAAATGATGTTCTTAATGGAAAATGTCCTTCAAGAAAAACATTAATCAACCTCGCCATAGCAAAAATTGCCCTGCGCGCAAGGGACGTTTTTCCGCGGCTTTGGGCAGGGTTTTCTCACTTAAAGCCAAGCTGCCTGAAAGAAGTGAAAGTCTGTCACAAATAGACACAAATAACTTTTGAAGGTGCTGAGTTTGATTGAAAATCTGAAAATTTCATTGTGCAACTTGCGGCAACCCTCAGCACAGTGCTCCACTGCATCTTTGCCTGTTGCCAACTCTGCCTTGCAGCACAAACCAAAACGCGCCAAACCCAACCCAAACCCTTCAGTTTTTTAGGGCTCGACTGCCACAATACCAATAGTAGCAAACATGGCAAACCTGCTCAAAAGTGCTGGCTGCTAGCCGCGATGAATGCTCAGTGAATGTCCGCAAAAGGCATAAGATTCGCTTATCGGTGCGGGTGCATTCAAAATCCTTGTGGAAGCGGTAACCAACCAATTCCCCGACGCGTAAAAATCTTGCAAGTTTGAGGACTGAATGAAACCACATGTCGAGTTTGTGTGCTTATGGCAAGATGAGACACACAGCGAACGGAAGAGGAAGGATAGCTGATGAGTGGATGCGGATGATGGTCTAAGTGGTCTGACAGCAACCCACGAATAGAAAGACGAGAACATTATTCCAAACAAAACTCTTTCTAGTAACAGGTGCCTTACTAGTAGTAACAAGAAGCTATTAGTAACAAGTGCCACGCTAGTAGTAACAGGTGCCTTACTAGTAGTAACAAGTGCCTCGCTAGTAGTAACCAAAATGAAAAATGAATGATGTGATGATGTGACGTGTGAAGACGTGTGGGATGCGGTATGGGGCCGTGCAAAAGCACTTTCCACAAAGCCAAACTGCACAGCACATGAACGACTGCAATTTTGCCATGCAGCGTGCCACGTACGGAGCTCAACGTGGCACCAAGCCTTGTTCACATCATCCTTGTTTACATCCTGTGTTCAAAGTTCACTTCTTTCGAAAACTACTAGCGGTAGCCCTGCAACCTAGTAGCTTCTTGTTACTAGTAGTAATGTAGCCACGGGGCCCAAAGCTCGACGGCTTAGGTGTCCGGCCACCGACGGCCGCTCGCCACTCCTCGCGGAGTGGGGGCGGTGTCAACTAGCCCTCTTTCCCCAAAGAGGGCGGCCGTTTCTTGTGACCTGAGGTTCGCGTGTTACTTCCAGGTCTCGAGCCATGGATGTGCTGGGAGCCCTGCAGGCTTGTCTTGGCCAGAGCCATTCTGCACCGAAGATCCGAGGATTGTTCGAAGGCCTCAACGCTGGTTTTGCTCCTACGGTAGGTGGCAAGACATACGTTGCTGGAGATGTCGCTGACTTCGGCGAGGGTTGGGTGGACCTTCATGCCCTGCGATTTGAGCCTAAGCATGGTTTCAAGTGTCAGTCGGACGATTTCCTGCTCAAGGTTGTCTTTGATGACGTGTTGGACCGTTGCCTGCATTTTTGCACTGGCATCCAGATCATTTGTGCAGGGGTGAACACCTCGGTCGACCCAAGTACGATCGTCCTGAAGAACGCCCAGGTGTGCTTTAGACCGGAGTTGGAGCCTACACTTCCATGGGATGTTGTACACATGTTCTGCGGAGCTTTCAGTGGCTGGAGCCAAGCGGCCCGGTGGCTGGACGGCAACAAAACAATGTGCCTTGGTCAAGAGATATTCATCGACAATGACCCACAAGTCATGACATTGTGGAACATGAAGCACAGTGCTACATACCGCACGCTGCCGCTGGACTACAAGACAGCTTGGTGTCATGCCAAGCACGTTGGCCTGTGTGGAAGCATTTCAGAACCGTCCATCATGGGCGCATGCCGATCACAAGTGAATGTGATCACGACGATGTCTCCTCCATGCCAAAGCTGGAGCAAAGGCGGCCGGAGGGCCGGCCTTGATGACCAAAATGGAGAAGCTTTCCTGGACGCTTTGATTGCAGCTTTTTCCCTTCAGACCCTGGGAATTGCCGCCGAATGCGCTGACGATATCGTTAGCCATGAACATTTCAAAGTTGTCAAAGCCTTGGCACACGCCCTTGGCTATGTTCTAGTTTGGGATCAGGTCACTCCATACCATGTCATGACTACGCATGCACGTTCCAGATGGCTAGGTGTTTGGGTCAGGTTTGATGCTACACTTCAAACCTTCCCTTTCATGCTCCACCTGCCGACATTTCCGAGATCTCGGTGGACTGATCAAGCATATGAGTTTGCCTTGCCCAAACGATGGATTTCGCAACTTCAGCTTTCGCCATACGAATGCAAAACATATGACTCCATTGAGTACTTGCCTCCTGCCAAACGCGCCAGGTACGAGAACAAGAACCTGCTCCACAACGAGATCATTCGCTCCAGAGTGCCATCCGCAGCTGAGGTCCTGCCTACCCTCTGTGCATCGTATTCGAGACAGCACCTTTTGGCGGAACACCATTTACGCCAGAAGGGCATATTTGCCATGCTTCGAGAAACTGCGCAGGGCTTCAGCTTTCTGGATCCAGCTCTATTCTGCAGTCTGTTCGGCTCCACTGAACATGTTGTCCTGTCCGAAAAGATCGAGGAGTCTTTTCACTTTGTTGGCAACGCCATTACGGTCCCGCATAGTATCCTTGCGCTTTCGATTGTCCTCCATGCCACGTGCACGTGCTCAATCGATCCGATCGGCCTGGTCAGGAAAGCGTGGTCAGATAGGCTCTCTGCCTACAATGCAATCCTCTTTGCACATGAGGGGTTTGTTCACCTGATTCCAAAAAGGGATTTTTGGAAGTGGGTGTCCGTCAAGGCTCTCGAACCCCCGATCGGTCGGTGTGAGTGGAATCTCCTGGGGACCTGTGTTGATTTTCCTTTGGATTTCAAGGTTAGAGCTGATCAGACCATCCAAGAAATCCTCAATGGAATGTGGGAAGCCCCTGACAACCTGATGCAGCAGATTTGTGCCATCAATACTGATTGCCGAATGTCTAACAAGTCCACCGTCGAGCAAATTGCACGTCAAGAGTGCAACTTTCGTCTCATGATTGGTTATGCAACTCTTGGCACTTGTGAATTGCGAGCCTTTTCCAGCTGCGACAGCCGAACTAAGGTCATCTCAGATGAGTCTGACAGAGAGGTGCCATGCCACGAGATTTCCATCCCGTTCAAAGACTTCGACGAATATTGTGCTTCGGATTTGTTCTGGTGCATTCAGCAAGTCGTCGAAACACTGCAAGACGACGATGGGAAAAGCAAATGTGAAGTGACCATTGTCCTCTTGCCAGAACAGTTGAGTATTGCCACATGGCTCTCTGACGCGACAAGCAAGATCTTTCTGCAGAGAATCAGCGACCTTTCAGCCCTCAGGGATCGTAGCAAACGTACATGCAGCGTTCCTGGTGAACATCGCTCCTATCTTCTGGCTACGCAAGCTCAGAAATGTGAAGCCTCTGTTTCTGCCGAAATCATTGCGCGCGATGACCATGTCAATGCCTGTGGAGCTCTCCTTCCGGATTCTTGTCATCCAGTGAGCTTCTTGTTTTCTGGCGCTACACTGAGCAGGACTATTCAGTGTGTCAATGGACAGACAGTCAGCAACAACTTACAGAGGCTTTGTGATGGTGACATTGTTGATGTCTGTTGCCCTCGGCCAGTCCATGCAGGAGGACACCATCTCAACACGAGAGCTCCTCCTTCGCTGCCTGCACTCTCAGATTTCACTGCCCGTGTGGAATTCATGTGTGACACAAACGGCTGGGTCGCTTCTGACGAGATGTACCATTACACACAAGCTCTGCAATGGCAACAGAATTGGTTGCGCTTTGCCACACCTCAAATGTGGGATGTTTCCAAGGGCGACTTTGAGGAGCCTGTGTTTGGGGAACTTGACATCCCCAACAATGCCACAACTGCAATTCCGGCGCTAATTGGCAGCCATTGGGCTGGCATTGAGATCACACGTAGAGGTACTGAGACTTCAGTGACTTTCATCCAGGTGCCTGTGAACCTTCACACAGCCTTGACTTTTCTGGTTGCACGTCTCATTGACGTTGCGCCGCATCGATTTCAAGTTCAATGTGAAGTCAATGATCCGCAGCCTCACACATGTGGATGGGACTTGATCTTTCGTTGGTACAGACGCCATGGCATTCATCAGGGCATTGCTGACATTTCCAACCACATCCAACTCAATGCCGAGTACACAGATCTCATTCAAGTTGCACTACAGTGCTTGAGCGAGGATTGGGCCATGGCACAGATCAACTTTGAGGTTGGCCAGCTTGCCTTCAATCTCCGCAAGAATTTCCTGTTCTTTCTGGCCAGACGTGAATGGCAGGGTAGACCACATCCTCAAATTGCTTTGTTCACGGGGTGCCCGCCACCAATTCCACAGCTCGGAAGTTCGCTTCCTCCGCCTGATGTGCCTCTTGCACCACATCCTCTCCAGCCCAACCGGACTCAGCTTGCAATTGACAGGATTCGACACCGTCTGGCACAGATTTTGCTGCACCCAGGATGGTTGTCCTCAGATGAGCTTGACATAGCCCTGGAAGGGCCTCGGGCTATGAACCCTCAGACGCTCTTCTGCCCTCCATCATCGTGGAATGTTGGGTCCTCAAGCCTTCACTTCTTTAATGACTACCTCCCAGACTACAGGGCCTACAACCAAGTTATTTGGATCATTGAAGTTGACCGACATTGGGTTCAAGCTGAGGCTTACCTCCATGAGGATTCCTCCAACTTTGCGTTCACGTTCCCAGCTGATTCGCACATCCGGCTTCAGCCTTTGGTTGACCATTTGATCAATGTCACCCTCGCCAGGGATACTCAGTTGTCGATCCATTTCTATGATCAACGCAGTCCGTTGCACATGTGTGGCTTTCAACTTGTGGCTCAGATCTACCACCGGCTTGCTGCCAACACCGTGCCGCTGCAGGCTCCACAACGGAGGCAGCTCAGCTTCCACTCGCTTGCGGCTGATCTTGACAGAGCGCATATCGAGGCAAGGGCAGTCTGGACAAATGCGGGCGCTGACCCCCATTTCGTTGAATTTGCGGCGAACATCCGACAATGGTTTCTCATTCGGGTTGCTGAGAATCGATTTCCGGCTGAGTTCACATCAGCGGGTGCCAACAATCAACAGGATGTTACAATGCAACCAGCTGATGGAGCCTCTGCACCTGCTGAGGCTCGAAAACAGCCCAGCACCTCCAGTGAGAGCAAAGATCCTTGGCTCAAATCTGATCCATGGTTGCGGTCGATGCCCCGCCCCGCACAGAGCAAATGGGAAGACTTGGTGATCAAGGATCCAATTCCTTTTACTGGCACGGATGGGTCCTCTCTCACTCAGAC